TTTTTTTTTTTTTTTTTTTTTTTTTTTTTTTTTTTTTGTTCACGGTATTGTTTCCAAATTTAAAATAAGAAATAAAAAATATAAAAAAAATGACCACTCTTGGAGGTTTACAAAATCGCCCTATATCTTCGGGGGCTCGGGAACAGTTTGAACGGTACAATCGAATGGATATTCTTGGTGAAGGTACGTATGGTGTTGTATATCGGGCAGTTGATAAAGTTACAGGGCAAATTGTTGCGTTGAAAAAAGTAAGACTGGATCGTACAGAAGAGGGAATTCCTCAAACCGCACTTCGGGAAGTTTCTATTTTGCAAGAAATTCATCATCCAAATATTGTTAATCTATTGGATGTCGCATGTGCTGATGGTAAACTTTATTTAATTTTTGAGTATGTTGATGGTGATCTCAAAAAAGCACTTGAAAAAAGAGGTGGTTCTTTTAATGGTATGACTCTAAAAAAACTTATTTATCAACTTCTTGATGGTTTGTTTTTTTGTCACAGGCACCGAATTGTTCACCGTGATCTCAAACCTGCTAATATTTTAATTACTGCAGATAATGTTCTTAAACTTGCGGATTTCGGTTTAGCACGAGCTTTTCAAATTCCAATGCATACTTATACTCATGAAGTTGTTACACTTTGGTATCGAGCTCCAGAAATTTTATTGGGAGAAAAACATTATACACCGGCAGTTGATATGTGGAGTGTTGGTTGCATTTTTGCAGAATTGTCTCGAGGCAAAGTACTATTTCGTGGAGACAGTGAAATTGGTCAGCTTTTTGAAATTTTTCAAACACTTGGCACACCGATGGATATTGAGGGATCATGGCCTGGTGTTTCCTCTCTTCCGGACTATCGTGATGTTTTTCCTCGGTGGGCAGGAAGACCTCTTGCACAAGTTATACCACAGCTGGACGCTGAAGCAATTGATCTCCTTTCGCAAATGTTAAAGTATAATCCCGCTGAACGAATATCCGCTAAAGAAGCGTTGCAACATCCATGGTTCAATGACGTTAGATTGTAGATGCATAAAGCGTTTTAGATATAAATTTTGTCTTCGGTTCACCCTTCTTTTTTTTTTTTTTTATTTTCGTCAAGTTTGTCATCTGGGCCAAATAAAAAGAAATTCCAAGTTATTGAGTTATCACCTGCTGTTAGAGTGTAAGGTGAATATTAATATTAGGAATTTTTTTGTCTGTTTTCGTTTAGTAAGTTGTTTCCTCTGTATATGTTGTTTTTTTCTTTTTTTTTTATTTGTCTATTTAAAATAAATCCTTAAAAAATAAGTTTTCTTATTTTATTTTTTTGTAATTCTTAATTAATTTTTCTTTTCTCTATTTTTTTTTTTTTTTTTTGATTTCTTTTTTTTTATTTTATTAAAAAAAAAAGTAATAGATAATGACCGCGTTAACACAAGATGAAGAAAAATTGGCCAAGGCTGCTATTGAAGAAAATGAAAAATTGCGTCGTTTGTTAAATGAAGCGAACAATGAAAGTCGAGCAAATGATGACTATAATGGTACTGATACGGAAAGAGCCGATAGTATTTTTTCACTCAAACGACGAAATGACATTTTAAGGGGGGAAATTGCTGATCTTCAAAATCAACTGGTTGCATCAGATGTGAGCGCTGCTGAAACTGTACATAAGTATAACCGTTTACAAGCTAAAAGAGCTCATCTTCGTAATGAGGTTCAAGGTTTGCGTAACATCAAGATGCATCAGACACCAAAAGTGCGGGAAGCGAACCGTTTTGCTGGTGAAAGGATGCAAATGAAGAAATCAAGTGATGAAGCAAATAGAGCAACAAAGAATGAAATTAAAACTTTGAAGGAAATGAGAGAAAAAGAAATTGAGCAACTTCATGTTACCATGCGTAAAGAAGCATATTTAAAGGAAAGAGTCGATTGTACTGTTTTGCCAACCCATTTGCGTGATAAACATGCTCTTAAAGCTGCGATTGACGCAAAAGAAAGAACAATTAAAAAACTAGAATATGATATTGAAATTGCTCAAAACAGACAGGGAAATAGGAGTAATTATGGAGGTCATAATGAAGAAAAAGATATAGGAAAGTTACGGGAAGAGTATGTTAAACTTCAAGAGACGCTAACCACCCTACAATATGAGTTAAATTAGATGTATATACCGTTCTGAATTTTTTTTTTTCCAGTATGTTCCTAGTCGGTTTTTCTTTTTCTTGTTAGAGTTTCATTGTCATTCTTTTTTTTTTTTTTTTTTTGAGTGCATCACATGATTAGAGGAAAAAATAAAAATTCAGAGCAGAACAGATGCTAGTGAACATGCAAAATGATGAACCCACATCAAATGTGAGTTTTTATTTCTAGTACGGAGTTTTCCCATTAAAAAAAAAAAGAAGAATAATATAATACTGTCTTGTATATATAAGTATAAAAATATATAAAAATATATATAAATATACATTTTTTTCTTTCTTTCTTTTTTTTTTATATTTTTTTTCTTTTTTTTTTACTCCAAAAGCCATAATGAGAAGGTTTGCTGTAACGAGTTTGCGTCAAACCAGTGGTCTTCGTTTTGCAACACCACAGTTCCTTAAGAGTATTGAAAAGCTCCGAAATATTGGTATTAGTGCTCACATTGATAGTGGCAAAACAACATTAACAGAACGTCTTTTGTTTTACAGTGGTCGAATTAATAAAATCCATGAAGTAAAAGGAGGGACAGAAGTTGGGGCTACAATGGACTCCATGGAACTTGAGAAAGAAAGAGGTATTACAATTCGTTCTGCAGCAACTTATTTTAAATGGAAAGATAATGTTGTAAACGTTATCGATACTCCTGGGCACGTTGATTTCACTGTAGAAGTTGAGCGAGCTCTTAGAGTTCTTGATGGTGCTATTATGCTAATGTGTGGTGTAGGTGGGGTTCAAAGTCAAACACTTACAGTAGATCGTCAAATGAGACGATATGGAGTTCCACGTATTTGTTTTATCAACAAACTTGACCGTGATAATGCTAATCCTCAACGTGCACTCAAGATGGCTAAAGAGCGTTTGGGTATAAATGCTGCTTTTATTCAACTAAATATGGGTACAGCACAAGATTTTGAAGGTATCGTAGATGTTATTGAACGTCGTGCCGTGTATTTTGATGGACCAAATGGTGAAACAGTAAGATTTGAAGATGTTCCTACCTACATAAAAGATGATGTTGAAGCTACAAGAAAAGAACTTATTTCACGACTTGCTGAATGTGACAGTGAAATGGAAGATGTTTTTTTAAATGATGAAGAACCATCAATAGAATTAATTCATGCTGCTATTCGTCGTGCTACTATTAATAATAAATTTGTTCCTGTTCTTATGGGTTCTGCTTACCGAAATAAAGGAGTGCAACTTCTTCTTGATGCTGTATGCAGATACCTTCCTTCACCAATTGAAAGAGTAAATTCTGGATTTTCGTTGAAAAAGGTAAAAGATGATGAAGGTAATGTTTTTAATGTAAAAGAAGAAAAAATTGAATTAAAAACAGATGATGAACAACCACTTGTTGCACTTGTTTTTAAACTTGAAGAAACAAAGAAAACAGGACTTTCAAATTACGTTCGTGTTTATCAAGGTAAAATGCGAAAAGAACATCTTGTAAACGTTCGAAGTGGTAAAACCTTTTTACCACCTAAAATTGTGAGAATGCACGCCGATTCTGCAGAGCAAGTAGATGAAATAAAAGCAGGAGATATTTGTGCTATTCAAGGTGAAATTGATGCAACTTCGGGTGATACACTTATGAAAGCAGGTCCAAGAAATGGACCTTTACTCTCATGTGAAGATATGTATGTTCCTCCACGAGTTATTTCAGCTTCTGTTAAGATAAAGAATGATCGTGATATGAACAGATTACGTGACCGTATGAGTGCATTTATGCGGGAGGATCCAACATTTGCTTTCTATAGAAATCCAGAAACCAATGAAGATATAGTAGAAGGAATGGGAGAATTACATCTTGATATTTATATTGAACGTTTAAAACGTGAATATGGTCTGGAAGTTGAACTTGGAAAACCAACTGTAAATTATAGGGAGGTAATTACAGAGAAAAAAGAATTTGATTTTGTCTACAAGCGACAAAGTGGTGGTGCTGGTCAATGGGCTCAATTAAAGGGATTTATTGATATTCTTCCAATTGATATGTCAGTTGAAAAGGGTATGAAAAACAAAATTACAGTTACTTGCTCTAATGGTGATATCCGTGAGGCTCTACAAAAATCAGTAATAAAACAGCTTGAACGTAAAATCTTTGTAAAAGGTGAATTAATGGCAGCACCGGTTTGGGGTGTACACTTTCACCTTACCGGTGGAGCTATGCATGAAGTGGATTCAACAGATATGGCTTTCAAAAATGCTACACAAGAGCTATGGGAAACGCTATTACCTCAGCTTAAACCAACACTTGTGGAACCTTATATGGATGTTGAGATTACAGTTCCTGCACATTGCATGACGGATGTGGCTACAGAATTTTCTAAACGTGAAGGAGTCGTTACTGAAACATCTATTAATGGAGCAGATGCAGTAATTCATGGAGAGACGGCGCTGGATACTATGTTCGGATTTATCTCAGATCTCAGACGACTTACCAAGGGTCAGGGTGATTTTGGTATGCAGTTCAAAGAGTACCGACCTATGCAGCAGTACAAGGCACAATCTCGAATGGATGAGCGCAACAAGGAACTTGGTCGCAAAATCTACAAACTTAGCGGGGAATAATAATAATAACAATAATTTAAAAAAGAAGTAACGGAAAGGAACATATTTCTTTTTTCTTTCTTTTTTATTATTATCTGGTCTAGAGGGATATTTAGAAAAAAAAAAAAATGAGGAGGAGTTGTGTATGTCTCTGAGTGTCTGTGTGTGTGGAAGGTTGCACCTAGGTAAGTATGTAGAGGTAGGGACGGAAGAAAAAGAAAGAAAAAAACATTTTGAAGGAGCATTGTGTGCTCTCTGTAGTTCTGTTTTTAGAGAACTGCGGTTCTTCACATTTACAGGGAATTTTCTCTTATATTCCTTATTTCATGTCCATTACATGTGATGGTACACGTTTAGTTATTTATTTATTTTTCTTTTCCTTTGCCTCTGAATAATTTTTTTTTTCTTTTATTGTATCCATTTTTGGTTTGCCATATAGCTCTATAATTTTTTTTTCGTTTTCGTTTTTTTTTTTTTTTTTCTATAGTTTGTTTCTTCAAGGGGAATACCAGCCTATATTAGCTCAAAAAGAAGAAAAAAATGACGATTGTGAATCTAGGTAAAGACTCTGCGAAAGTGGGCATGCGTGTGCAAAACATTGCTGGTCTCACTGGTACCATAAGGTGGGTTGGAACGATGGAGAAGAAGGAAAATCCTCCTGATGGGAGCGGATTTTACGCTGGTGTTGAGTATGATGAGGGAACAACAACAAAAAATCGCATTGATGGAAGCTGGGAAGGAAAAAGGTATTTCACATGTGATCCAGACAAGGGTGAATTAATTAAAGCAAAGACACTTTTCCCAGAGATGAATACTGCCTGTATTGCTGCTATTAGAGGACGTTTTGGAGAACAGGTAGCTAATTGGGAAGATTTTCAATTGGTAAAATTTTGTATTGCCCGTCAATTTCATATGCCTGATGTCTTTACTATGATTCAAAATCATCTTGAGTGGTTACAGGAGTTTAAACCCTCATGTGATGAATATTTCCCTGATTCCATAATTGAGGATTATCCATGCGGGTTCAGTGGGGCGTATGATTACGACAACAACATTATTTATTGTGAACGTCCAGGTAATGGAGGGAAGTGTACACCCACTGAATTTATGCGTCGTTATGGTCCTGAACTTGTTACACGTTGGCATGCATGTGCGATGGAAACGGGAAAGAAAATTATGACTGAAAGCCATTTTAAACACAAACGTCTATGCTATATTGTTGATCTTACTTCTGTCAGTGTTTCTATGAGTCGTTCACTTATTAAGTTTGGTCGAACTGTAGCCACTATTGATCAGGCTAATTACCCTGAACAGCTGGCACGACTAATTATTTTAAGGGCCCCAACGTTATTTCGTGCAATATGGAAAATGATGCGTGTTTTTATTGATGAGAATACTCTAAAAAAAGTTATTTTTGTTCCAGAAGGTAAAGAAATAGAGACAATGAAAAAGTATATGCGTGAAGAAGATATTCCTGATTTCGCTGGGGGTACGAGTAAGGCATGGCGAAGAAATGGTGGACGCATTGGATCAGCAGATAGTGACAAAGTATTCAAAGGGAAGACGATTATAAGTCCTGAGCTACAGAATGGTCAAGATGAAAGCGGAGAATTGGAATCTGATCTTATTTTGCAAGATGATGTTTCTGATGAAATCAGTCAAAATGGATCCTCAACAACCAATGGTGGAATGGAGGGAAAGAATTCTCGGAGTGTGAGTCAATAATATTTCCCATTTTACCTATTTAGAGGTGATATATTTCTACAATATTTGATTTTTTATTTTTATTTTTATTTTATTTTTTTTTATTTTTCTCAATAATTCTCATGGTCTCTTCTTTTTTTTTTTTCTCGTGTTCGAGGAGTTATGTTTCTTTTTCCATTGCTTTACAGAAGTTTTTTAGTATATTTGTCTTCTGTTCATTAGTTTAGTTTGCTTTGTTTGTTCTTTTTAGCGTTCGTTAAGGACTTGTTTTTTTTTTTTAATTTTTAACACCTTTGTTGCCCTTTTCGTACGCGTTAAAAGAAGAGATCATGTGTTCGTTATGATGGGGGAAACGAAAAGGAAAAAAAAAAAAAGACCCCAGCAACTGTAACACGCAACTCTTGAAGAGATCTTTACAGGAATTTGAGAATGCACAAAAGCAAAAGGAATAACCGCTACTTCCAGTTTCGTCACTCTTTTTTTTTTTTTCTTACCATATTTCCTCATTGTCTCCAATCTGCAACTGACAACAGTTGATACGAACGAGCATACCTTTAAATTGTACAATGAAGGTTAAGAAAAGAGTTTCTTTTTCGTTTTTTTTTTTTTTTTCTTCATCCGATATAATTTATTTATATTATTTTCAACTGTTTTAACGTCAAGAATAAAAGTGGGATGAATCAGAGATTTGGTGGTATTCATGGGGTTGTGACGTTCTTTCTCCGAGATGGAGAGAAGGAAAAAGTGTTCCTATCTCTTCAAATATTGGATCACTGGAGAACGTTTCTGCTTTTGATAGTTTACTTTTGTAGGTTTATGCTTATTTTAACTGAGATGTTTGCTTTCTTGAAGAGTTTTTGATAATAATATCAAATATATGGGTATTATGTGAGAATTTATTGACTTGGTATTCAATGATTCTCGTATAATATCATTTCTTTTTTTTTTTTTTTTGAGATGATATGGTTTACGTTTGCAGGTTTTTTGGCGTATTATGAAAAGATGACCTACCAAGTATAAAAATACACAATATTAGGAATTACATCCCCCCCCTTTTTTTTTTCTTTTCTTCTGTGTTTATCCATGAGAATTACTGCCCCGACGTACTCTGGATAATTTGTGTTTATTTTTTTCTTGTTTTCGTTCCTGTGTTAATGCTTGTTTTATTTCTTCGTGCCTAACTACTAGGGGTTCGTTTCTGCTTATATATTTAACTATATTTTCTGTGTTTTCTGTTTAAATCTCGAATCGCGCCCTTTTGCGTGTGTTTAAATGCACTCTGTAGAAGGTGTTTTTACGACTCTCTTGTTTTCCTCACATAACAGTACAGGTATCCAAAGAAAGGATTAAAAGAAAAAAAAAAAAGAGAAAACGAATAAGTGGAAAACAAAGAATAGCAAACAAGAAAAGGAGCGAGACAAAAAAGAAAAATAGTAATAGTAATAACAACAATAATAACAATAATGAAGGAAAAAAAAAGTGAGGAAGCTGTGGATGAAACGCATGCTTTAAAAGATCCTTGGTTTCTCAGCTACATACCTCAGCTGACACCAGACATAGTGAAGTATGACTTCAAGGGTGACTGGACCATGGCTAAACAAACACTTCAACAACCGCTTGACTACATTCGCACTGTTGAGGAGCTCTGGTCTACGATCAATTCGTTACCCAAACTACATCAACTTGGAAACGGTAGTACTTTTATATTTGCCCGAAATAATATCGACGCAAGTTATGAAGCTTTCCCAGACGGTATTCGAGTCCTTATAGATCTCTACAAAGCAGCAGTAGCAGAAAGGGCGCTAGAAGTGGTGCTGGGCTGTGTGCTTGGAGAAGGAATAACACAGGACGTTTGTGATGGTAAGACCGTGTGTGATGTGTTGCGTCTCTCATCACGCCCCAGTCACGAGTCGCCTGAATTGTTGCGTCTAGAAGTGTGGCTCAGCGATCATACGTACGCCAAGGCGGTGTCTGCGTACATTAGGAAGGGTCTAAAGGACGCTGGGTTGAACTTTACGGATATCGTCATGGGCGAGTCCTTCTTTGAGAAGGAGAAGAAGAAGAAGAAGGTGGGGTCCATTACAAAAAGTTAAATTTATTTATTATTATTATTATTATTATTATTATTATTATTATTATTATTATTATTATTATTATTGGTATTCCTAATGGTTTTACTTCTCTTTTTTTTTCTTTATGATAGAGCTTGTTGGAGAAGGAGGGGAGACATATGGGGAGAGGGGATTGAATAGAAGTGATATGGGAATTGAAAGAATAGGGCAGAAGAGTGAATGAGATGTTCATTATTGTGTATGGGAACAAAAAGTTGTATATAATGATGAAACTAATAGGGAAAACTGGTATGGCAACACACTTAAATCTGCAAGCATACCAGCGACATGGAGCTTAGATTAAAAAAAAAAAAAAGAGAGGGGGAAAAAGAAGAACAAGGAAAACAAAATATGTATGATCATAAAATCAAGAGAAGTACACCGGGTTAAGATGGCACTGGTAAATCTGACAGCAATTAATGGAAAAGGGTGAGGCAAACCTTTTTTTTTTTACAGTCTCTTTTTGCCTGTGATTATCTGAAGCCGTGATATTCAAAATACGCAATATAACTCCTATCCTTTTTCCCCTTTATTTTCTCCTTTCGTTCCCTCTTTCCAACTCCTCCTTCCACTTGCCTTCTTGTACTTTAGAGAAGAGAGGGGGTTTTGACCCCCTCCCGAAAAAAAAAAAAAGAGAGAGAAAGAGAGAGAGGAGGTGTTCTCCATTCTATAAGGAACGAAAAATCGTTTCCTTTTCTCTTATCTCTACTTGGCGAAGAAAAAAAAAAAAAACGATATTTTCAAACCTTTTTTCTGTGCGTGGTGGTATTGATGTGTTTCTGTGTTTTTGTGTCCTGATATTAGTGGTGTGAAGAGGAGATGGGAGGCAACAATGAGTCAAAGAAGAACAAAAAAAGAGGATGTTTCTCTTGCTTTCAATGTTGTTTTTTTTTTTTTTTTCCTTTTTTCTTACTTAATAAAAATCGAGAAACACGGTGAAATTCTCTTCTATTCTTTTAATGAATTATTTATTTATTTTTCTTCTTGTGCTTTCATTCTTTTTTTTTTTTCTTCAAAGGTAAAGTAAATGAATCAATGAACTTTCTTTAGTGTTTCGAAAATAGTATTAATATTACTGTACTGGTGATCTTTTTTTTTGGCAGTATGAAGGCCAATACGTCACGAGCTTTTATTTTCAACGTCTAATAAACAGCACTGTTGTCGTATAAAAGACGTTCTATATTTTTCTCTTCTGAAGTAGGTTCTCATCATAATTTTGCAGTTTTCTTCCTAATGGCGTTAATATTGAGTGTTCCCTCTTCCTTTCTTCCTTTTTGAGTACTGGTCTTATTGCTACTGACAATCTCTGCCATACTGAAACTTTCAGGAGTCAGGAATGATATGGATAATGGAAATAGTAGATTATGCCAGTTAATTTGGTTTGATGCGTTAGTTTGTTCTCACGATGGATTATAAAGGGAATGATCATTGTGGAATTTCAAATGACGTGTCCCTTGGAGCTTTATTTATATGCAGCACTGTTCCTTTTACACATTTACACGAACTCACAGAAAGAGGGAACTATAAACAAATAGAAACATATACATTTACAAATATCTATCTATCTATCTATCTATCTATCCATATATATATGACGATATTCTCAAATTATTTATTTGTTTTTTTTATTTCTTCTCATATATACTCCGTTGTCTTTGCTACTTTTCCTTGTTTATTCTTTTCTTTCTAACAGAAGGAAGCATGCAGCTTTTCGTCAAATCGGCGTCCGGCCAGACTCTTGCGGTGCAGGCATCCCTGCAGGAGACCGTTGCGGCTCTCCGCTCCCGCGCGGGTCTCCGCAGCGACGAGCTCCTCTTCTTCGGCGGCCAGAGCCTCGACGACGCCGCCACCCTCGCCGAGTACGGACTCCAGCGCGAGAGCACCATTCACGCCGCCCTCCCTGTTGAGGGTGGTAAGGGAAAGAAGAAGAAGAAGAAGATCTTCACAAAGCCAAAGAAGCCTATTCACCGCCACAAGCTGGAGAAGATGCGCGCCCTCAAGTACTTCAACGTCACGGAGAACGACGACGGTTCCTATAAGGTGGAGCACACTCGCCAGGAGTGCCCAGGACCAAACTGCGGTGCTGCCGTGTTTATGGCCCAGCACAAGGGACGCAAGTACTGCGGTAAGTGCCACCTGACGTTTACAGTCAAGTAAGACGGGCGGATCCGCCACTTCCTTCTTTATTATTTTTATATTTTCGTGTTCAATATTTTTTTTTTTTTTCCTGAAAATGGAAAACAAAATAAATTCTTGAGGTACTCTCTTTGCTCTCACATCGTGTTGGTTGTTATCTCATCTTGAAAAACAAGAAAACAAGATGGAAGACCTACTTTCTCTACCCTTCTTTTTTTTTTTCTTTTTTTTTTTTTTCTTTTTTTCCTTCTAGAGTGTGTTTATTTGCGGCTTGCATCTGGGAGAACGCAGCGCTATGAATACATTAGGGTTAGATGATGTGAGCAAATCTGATCCACTATTACATAATTTGACCGCTCTTTCATTTCAGGCGCCAGGAACTGCGGTACAGGGTGGAAAAGATGCTAATAATGGAGGTGGTAATGCTCGTATGGCGCAAGTGGATCTGGGTGATCTATTTAGCGATTTGAGTGTTCCAGGTGGTAGTCCTGGAACGTCAACACATGTTAATACATCCCGCGATTTAAATGAGCAGAACAAGGCGCATAAACAGAAACCCATATTACAACAGCCAAAACCACAACCACAAAAACAGGGATTGGTTGAATCTAGTGATCCTCTGGATACGTTTTTTAACTCGGCTCCATCCAATGTGCCTCCTGTTTCAAATGTAACACATGATGATGTGTGTGCCAACGACTTATTTGACTTTTCCAGACCAGGTGAGCGTGCAAGGTACTCGGATGAACGGTCTTTTTTAGAAGCCTTTGAAAATCAAGGTAAAGGGAAGCGAGGTGAAACACGTGATGGACCATCACTTGCTGATCTCAGCAAAGGATCTTCGGGAAATAAGGTGAAAGCACGTCTGCTAAAAATAATGAATTACTATGATGTACTAGGTGTTACTTTCAATGCTACACCAGAAGAGATTCGAAAACAGTATAAGAAGAAAGCGCTAGAACTTCATCCTGATAGGGTGGGTCGAGATCAAACAGAAGAAGAGGCAGAACTTTTTAAAGTCATGACAAAAGCTCATGAGATTCTCTGTGATGCAGAGGAGCGAGCCAAGTATGACGCGGAACTGCGAAGTTCCAGTAATGGTGCTACAGGTGAGGCGACGTGGCTTTTTCATCTTCATCAAGAGTAAAGAAAATGAAACCAAAAAAAAAAAAAAATACAACTCACTTACTTGTATATCCTGAGTGGGGGACGCCATGCTGTATTTTGGAAGTAAAAAAAAAAAAAGATATACCTTCTCCTCTGGCGTTTGAAACAAAAGGGACATGAAATTATTGCTGATGGAAGATTTGGAGGGAAACAAAACAAAACAAAAAAAAAAAAAAAAAACCAAACAAAATGAGTGAATAAGTGAATGAGTGTGAGTATTTGTATGAGTCTCTATTTTCTTATAGTAATAATAATTTTTATGCATATTGTTCGTTTTTTTTTTCAATTCGTTTTTCTTGCATATTTTATTTCTTTTGTTTTGCTTCATTTGCAAATAAGTTGTGGTAAAAAAAAAAGAAGTGTAAGGGGGTAGTCGTTTGTCGTTCAAAAAAGAAGAATGATGCGCCGCTGCAGTGTTTTATTGAGTACCAACTGGAGGGAGCAAGGTATCAGTTACTTGAAATATCTTAACGTCTGCACGGAAACACTTCACAGCACCGTGAAGGAAGGTCGACGACACAAATACGAGCGTTTCTCTGCACCTAATTACATTTCACAGAAGCCTGATGGCGCAGGTGGAAATGAAATTGTGAAAAAGGTCCCTGCGAGCTCAGCGGAATACTAGGAATGATTGTGTAATATATGCACCTTCCCTTCCTAAGGAAAGAAAAAATAATCTAAAGGAACAAGGTATTGGTGTCTGTGTTTGTGAATGTGCGTGATAGGAAGAATGAGTTAGCACGTGTGTAATAGGATGCTTCAGGTATATATGTGGCAAGGCTATTTTGTTACTAGTGATGCAAATTTGCTCTTTCCCTTAAAGGGGTCCAGAAGCCTCTCTGTATTTTTTTTCTTTTTCTTTGATAATTTAATATTTTTTTCGTTTTTTTATTTATTTATTTATTGATTCCTTTTTGTTTCTCTCTTTTCTTTTCTCCTTATTTGGTTAATTCTGTTACTGATACTTTAGGCTCCGTATTAACGTGGGCCGCAACCACAGAATAGACCCTCCTTGTTGGAGCAAGAAAAAAAAAAAAAAAAAAGGATTTTTCTTTTCTTTTTTTTCCCTTTTTTTTAGCAATGCCGTGGTATTTAAGTACCTTTCGTGTAGGTTTCTGTGCTATCTACTCGTACTTTGCCTACGTACAGGTGAAGTGGATTGTGGAGGCGGAAGAGCGGTATAAACGCTCCCTCACATGGAAACCCGCTGTGGGAACGATATTTGATCACAAAATTGTGATGAAGCGCGGGGGCTCAAGTTATGTGCAGTACCGGTTTGAAGTGGGTGGGAAGGAGTACGTGGGGGATCGGTTTAGCAGCGGCGGGATTCACAAGGAAGAGATGGTCTCACAACCAGCACTCCTTGGAGCTGGAACGCAACTTGTGGTGTATTACAACCCTGCAGATCCTAACGAAAGTGCAATTAAACTTCAGACAGATCGTGGTGCAGAGTCTGTTTTTTTGCTTGGTATTGCAATATCCATACTTGTGGCATATAGGTCTGTACGCTGTGAGACCATTTTGCCTAATATGTTTTACACATTTCTTGGTGTGAACCGTCGTCTTGGCGGTATCACAGGCCTGCGTGAGGCGCGTACGCACTCGCGGCAGAAGATGAAATACGGCAAAGGAACGGGTGCCATTTGATGAGAAGTAGCGTTTTTTTTTTTTTTTTTTTCTTACCAAACAACTCCGATTTCCACACATACTTTTTATATCTATGAAGGCATGAAGGAAAAAAAAAAAAAAGAAAAAAAAAGCGATAATGGGAGAGAGAGAGAAATGTGTGCTCTAGAAAGGAGCACACTGGGGGTTCTCTTATTTTGTGTTTTTTTTTTTTTCTTTCTTTGCATAATAGAAATAGGTTGGTGTTATTCGTTTTTTTTTTTTTTCTTCTTCGAGAGTCCTAACGTATATTAGTGCTGAGCCTACTCTACGAGAAAAAAATAAATCAAAGTAACAAAAATAAGTAAGTTTTATTTTGTTACATTTTAAAGGAAACGAAGAATAGTATGGCTGAACCGCGTTCTACCAGTAGCAAAGCTCTTAGTGGAGCGAAACGAAATCGTACCAGCATTGAGTTTGATGTTCTTGAGTGTATGCAGTCGATGGAATGCACCGAGAATCATATGGTGTTAGGTATTGATGAGGCGGGCAGAGGTCCAATAATGGGTCCTATGGTATATACTGGAGCTATGATTGCCCTTCACGAGCATGACCGTCTTGTAGACTACTGTGGAGTGAATGACAGTAAAGTGTTAGGTGAAAATCAGCGAAAAGATGTGCTGCAAAAATTACGAGAACTCAAGACTTTTCGTGCTTTCACAGTTGTTGTTACACCCACTGAAATTGCTGCTGCCATGACAGGTGTTCATGGGACTAATCTTAATACACTTAGTCACAACACAGCTATTAGTATTATTTCTAATGCTACATTGGAAGCTTCAGGTATGTTAGTTGCTGCATACATTGATACAGTAGGACCTCCTGAGTCTTATCAACAACGACTATCAGGCCGTTTTCCACATTTGCGTGTTACAGTGTCAAAAAAAGCAGAATCAAAGTTTCCTATTGTGGCAGCTGCTTCTGTTGTGGCGAAGATTGAACGTGATTCTCACATTGAACGACTTGGTATAGATGTGGGGAGTGGATATCCAAGTGATCCAAAAGTCATGTCATGGGTACGTTCACATGTTCATCGCTTTTTTCTTTTACCACGACAATATGACTTTGTTCGTCTTTCCTGGGGACCTGTCATTCAGCTCGCCAAGAACTCTAACATATGCACTACTCTTGTATTTGAAGAGGATACAAAAACCAAAGCGGATAAACGACGTACTGCTAGTGGTAGTAGTAGTAGTAGTAGCGATGGTAAGAAACAGCGTCTTTTGAGTTTTGCTAAACCACCACCACGTCGACATTCTGTGTTTACGCACCTTTTAAAACTTAAAAATGTTTCTTCCATTCAAGATACTCGACATCCTCCTTTTGATATTAATAATTGATTATAGTGAAAACTTCGAAATCTGCATTTCTGTGTGTTTGTAGTTTTATATATGTGGTGCACCGCTCTGTAACATTATCAGGGTTCATTATTATTACTGTTTGCACCCTAATAACCACAAAAGTTATTATGGTAACCATAGAGGCTGTTCAACCAGCATATAGAGTTTTTCACACTTTTGATTAGTGGGGAATTGAATTTACTTTGTACTACATGAGAGGAATTCTGTTTGATTGTACTCTTTTTTTTTACTTTTTGTTTACTTCACACTTGTAATTATCATCACGTTTTTTTTTTTATTTTTTGAATAATAATAATAATAATTGTCATTATTATTACCACTGAAAATTTTGTATCTTTTTTACTATTATTTATTGATTTGTTTGTTTTTAATTTAAAAGAAATAAATATACATATCTTCCACAATACAAGAGCAAGGAAAAGGACCAAGGTGGCACACACAATTCAATGGGAGTGGTGACTGAAAAGATTCTGACGGCACCGTTGGTGGCTGCTTTTGTAACGTTTGCCGTGCGAATACTTATGTACAATTGTATGGATTACTTTTCTCTTCCATATCATTTTGGTATCACAACTCCCAATACGGGTGCTGAAGTGTGGAAAGAAGCTGTTTTTTGGAAACATCGTTTCGGTGCTGTTCCTGAATTTCTTGGTGGCATTGCCCCATGGTATGCTGAGTATATCCCAGTGGCATCCAGTACGATGTATGTAGTGATATTATGTTTGTTTGATGCTTTGACAGCATTTTTTGTAAGTCAATGGCCGTCTGCTATGCCTCAAATTACTTTTTCGCTTTTTGTGCTGAATCCTGTAATGATTTTCTTGCCAATTTTGGAGTCTTTGGCACCTGTAGAGCATTTATTACTGACTCTTGTTATAGAATGTTGCCTTAGACGAAGAAAATATCCTTACTTGATCTACGTTGCACGATTAGTTCAACCTATATTAGGGTTTTCTTTTATTGCTCTTATTATAGCACTATGGTTTCCTGTTGGAACTTCAAGTCCAAGGATTGGTCTTGTGGCTTCTCTTTTAGGTGCTTTTGGTGTGGGTGGACTAGGTCTTCTTTATCTCTGGTATTGGGGTGCTTTAAGTGAAAAGACTTCTCTCTATTCCCCACCTGATAATGGGGTGATGTGGTATGTACGTCTTCTTATTCTTCCCGCATTTGGTCGCTGCGTAGACGTTTTTGAAGTTCAACTCCCAGCAGTTGTTACTCTCCCACTAGCACTCGCACTTCCTGCTGAAGTTCCAAAATCAAAAGGAGTTCAATCAAGTTCGATTCCAGGGGATAGACGATTGTTTTTGGTTTTATTTGCCATATGTGTTAGTAAACTGTGTCGTTCTAATCTAGCTCTTTCAGACTACTCATTGGGTGTACTTTTCTTGTATTCTCTCTTGGAGGTGTCAGATAAAAAATCCAAGAAGAATGGGAAAATATCAATGTTTGAACGAATGCTTGGGGCAAATGTATTTGTTCCTGTTTACACATTGTTATTGGTAGTTCCCTTACAACACAGTTTTTACACAGGATGGGTTATGTGGGATACAGCAAACCCCAACTGGGTATTTTTTCCACAGGTGGCCTTTGTTATTATGGGTAGTATTTTTCTTCTTACTTTTCTTAACGTAGCAGTGGACGCCATTCAGGCGGAAACGGAGGTGGACACTGAGAAAAGTTAAAAAAAGAAAAAAGTAGGACAATGTAGTACCACCTTATCTCGGCCTTTTTTCATTTTCTTTTTTTCACTGACACCGTGCGAAACAAAAAAAAAAAAAAGAAAAATCAAAATACACGGAGGAAAGAAGGAAAAAGGTGTGCGATAAACAAGCTGAGAGACGGGAAATGAGAAGAGAAAAAAAAAGAGAGGGAGAAGGCATATATATATATATGTATAAACTCTGGTACATTTCTATTTGCGTGCAATTTGTGGATATATTTTTACAAGTCACTGTGTATACTATCCCTTTTTATTGTCTTAAAATAGCCGTTCTTGTTGTTATTATTCTTATCTGTTGTTTTTTTTATTCTAGTTGTTCTCTCTTTTTTAATAATCATGCTTCTTCTTTTTCTTTTTTCATTATTTTCTTTTTTTTTTTGTAACGACCTTTCTGTTTCCTCTTGATACAACAGGATAGGATTCGCTTCTTCTTCCCCTCCAATTAAAAACAAAAAAAAAAAAAAGAAAGACAAATATATATATTTTTTTCTCTGCCAGGGGAAGAGAGTAGACAGCAAATGTCCCAAAACGTTCTTCAGACTCTTGCCCTTGTTCTTCTGTCGCTACTGCTGGTGTCGGCAGAGCACACACTCATGCAAACCCGTACGAACCGAATTGTGTCGCGAGGAACTGAACCGTCTGTGAATGCGCCGTACTTTTTATTTTCGGTCTGCGAGGCGGAGATTCAACAGTTTTGCCCATCGCAGAAGGAAGCCCCGCTGAAGTGTCTTCTACATCACTTCAGCGCAGCCCGACAGAACCCCCGCGGCGGTGGGGCCGCGCAGGGACGCCCCCATCTCCTCCACGCCTACACCCAGCAGCCCCAACAGACCCTGCAGCCCACACAGCGACCGCAGGAGGAACCAGCGGAGACGCAGCCCCGGCGGCCCATTCACTTTGGCAAAGAGTGCAGCAGTTGGCTCAGAGCACGGGAGGTGTGCGTCACGTACGTCCGAAGATCAGGGCGGTGTCGTGCGTCTGAAACCGCGCGCGAATGTCTGCGGAGGGTGCCAGCAAGTCTGCTCCCGCCAGGATGTCGCAACACAGACTACCACCGCAGTGTCATGCTCTACGGTGAAATGAAGCGGCAGAAGAGAACGTAGTTGCAATGGAGACATTATAACATCGTGAAGATGAGACAACAGAAAAGAAAAGAAAAAAAAAAGAAAAAAAAAGTATAGCTTGGCGAGATAAATGGAGTGGTCCAAAAAATTCTTTTTTCCTTTTTGGTTTCTTGTTTTCGACAAATGTAATCGTCCCTGGGTAATTTAAATACCTGGCAAAAGAAGAACATACACGTACGCATTAAGCAAGGAATGAATAGCAACTTCAACGGGAGTAAGACTGAAGGCCAAACTGGGTAACCGAATCGAATACTCTTGGAAGGGAATGTGTAACATGAAGTATAGTGCATGGAAAAAACATAAATTTATCTGTATTGCAGCATCGTATAAGATATGAAAGCCTGGATTGTAGATAATGAGAAACCCATTTTAAACTGGTTTAGGTCAGGCAAAAGAAGGAAGATAAATTTGATCAGTAAAAAGGAAAAGAACATGATCACTTGTACTTCCGTTTTTTTTTTTTTTTTTTAAGTTTGTACACAGATAGAATAACAATGGAAAAACCTCGATTTCTATGGGCTTTACTGAGTTCTTCTTCCATGTGTTCACTAGAACAAGTAATGCCCGGTTTGTAGCAACCAGAGAGCCTTTCATTTTTTCTTTGTTGTTGTTGTTGTCGTTGTTGTTGTTGTTGTATTTCGTTTTTTTTTTTTTTTCTTTCTTGTTCTTCGAAAGGCCCTTTTTTTTTTATTCCTGCATGGGAATGGGAATTTACCGCAACATATTTTTGTTCTCCTACTTCCCCTGCTATTTTCACTCGAAAAAATCTGAAACAACAACAACAAAAAAAAAGGAAACAAAAAAAACAAAATGAATATCCAAAACGAAAAAAGTGTCTAAATACCAGAGAATACAGTATCTCGTAAGTAATCTCTTTCTGATTTGGTTTTTCTGGCGGCTGTCATAACAGCTAGTGGAGATAATTTTGTTTCCGTTTTCCTAGTCCAGAGATAACAGCATCATTAGCGGTATGTTTGTTTTTCTGTATTAATGTATGTGGTCTTGTTTATTTCCTTTATTCAAATATAGTTCTTTTTATTATTATTATTATTATTATTATTATTATTATTATTATTATTATTATTATTATTAAAAGTAATAGTAATAATAATATGTCTTTGTAAAAACACAAGAAGTGAAGGCTGAACTTGAATAGGGCAAATAATCAATTCCACATTCTTTTAATAAGTAAGAAATACTTACATTCTCTATGGGCTTTCATGATGGATTTTTTCTTCGTATTTCGCCTGCACGATTTATAAATAATTTCGTTCTTTGTGAGTGCATACGCGTGCGTTTTTTTTTTTTTTTTTTT